GTCCAATTGATGTTGCAACAGGAGGAGGAGAACCTGAACATTGATCTGGCCTTTCTTCCAACAAATCCCTGAAAAATGAATCGTTCCACTGGAGAAAAATCTCGAGACTGGATTGGGAAGAACAAAGACACAAACACACTCACATTCCCCCAAAAGATTCCAGACAAATTCAGATCCCAAGACCAGATGTGTATAAAACTCGGGCCGGACGCGCGGCCCGAGTACAGACTAATAAAATGATGCACTAGGGCCAGAAAGACTCTTAGAGATTATTCTAACCCCCTTATTTTATAGTTTGGGAAACTGAAAGCCTCAAAGGGAAGTGACACCCTGAAGGTCACAGAACCCCCACTTCACTGGGTCACTCTGCCTCCATTCCCCCTGACCCCCAGCTTGGACGCCTACTCCTGGATCTTTCCATGGTCCATTTCATTAGGAGTCAAAACTGAGGTCCTTTAAGTACCACAGTCTCCCAGTATGACAAATCCCCTGGCTAAAAGGTGATAGTTTAACGCTCTTTCCAGTCGGGTGGCTTTTGCCATAAAGCCTTCTCAGAGAGGGGCAGAACACTTGGTCCCAGAAGACCTCACTGTCTTTCTGAAATTACTATTAATCAAATCTGTCTAAACTGAGTCTGATTCACTGCATTACATTGCAGTAAATCCCTGGAACAATTTGCATCATTTCCAAATACTCTTATAGGGTCAGCAAATCCTAACAATCAAATGTTTCATTTCTCGGATTCATTCCCAGCTTCTCTGTTCAGTAGCTCACAGTCTATAAGCAAAGGTTCAAGTTCACCAGGGGTAGTGGTTCTAAAGGTGCACCAAGGGCTTCTTGATGTGTGGATTTACTATAGGGGGCCCTTGAACTAATTCTGTGCAAAATGTGCTTTCTAAATATAGACCGAAATGTCCATTGATTATCAAGTGGAGGGGCATGGTTATTTTGACATTCAAATAGAGACTTTGTATTTGAAAAAGAATTAGGGAAATTTGGGTCTAGGGCGGTAAGAAAAGGGGGCGGTGCTTGAGGGTGGTTCACACATAATACAGGTGAATTATTGTTGAGAAATTTTTCTTTCAGTTCTTCTCATTATCTCGAGAAGAAAGTCTCAATCAGGTGTTAACACGTCTCCAACCTTTTCCCAACATTCACTGGTCCTCCCTGAGGCTTGGGGCAAGCTCGGGCTCCGAATGTTGGTAAGCCACAGCATGTAGCTAGAATTTTAGACTTCTCTTTTGGTTTTGTTTTCACTGTTCTCACCGTGGTGGTTGCGTCTATTATGGCAAACAATACTGCTTTTTCATCTGTAAGCCGTGACTATATAAAGTTCTGTTTTTAAAAAGAGTAAGTTTGAAAGAAGCGAGGCAATTTAAGGAAACATTGTAACTGACTAGCAGAGGTGGTATAGAAACAAGGCAAAAAAAAAAAAAAAAAACCATATTTTTGATACTCAAAAGAACCCACTGGTACATGATACATGGTCAAGCTGGGACTCACAAATCTCAAAATTTCAAAGAATTCCGCTGCGACTCACTTGACAAAACAGATGGCATGGTGGTAATCCACGACTGTTTCTCCTCCGTTTTTCAGTGTGGCAACTTCGGTTATGGGTATCAGAATGGCTGGAAGTCAGACTCATGTTTTGAAGTTTCTGCATGTCACAGAATGTAACAACCTTCAAAAACAAATAGGAGTAATGGCAGCCATCACCCGTGGCACTCCTCCCAATTTATAAGCCTTTCCCATACACTGTAGACTTTAGATGAAGCGACTCTTAAAAAAAATCTGAGTTCTAAACCCTTCTCTCATTAAAGTGCTGTGTGACCCAGGGCCAGTTACTTAACCTCTCGGAGTCTCCACGCCCTCAAGTTCAGGTCTGCATGCCAGGGCTTTTAGTGAGTCACCTGCCAGGTAGCCAGACTGAAATGCTGTACAGCAGACATGGGAGCTAGGAGAATCAGAACACTCTTCAGCTTGGGGAGGATTCGGGTATTAAATGGCACATTTTGCTACCAGCAAATGGTAGGGGATAATTTGGGGAGAATTCATTCTCTCACTCTACGGCATAATAGGATTCAGGATTATGAAAGAGGCCTAAGGGCCAAGAGGGGGCTGGTGCTCTAGTAGCTGCTGGGAGGGAGTACTGTGTTCCCAAATCTTATTATCTGAGAGGAGGGGCAGGAGAGAGAACAGGAGCTTATGAAAGCTTCATAACCACCACTCCTAGAGAGGTTCTAGAAGTGAATTATAGCAGCAGAAAAGTCATAAATCACCAGTTGCGCGCCTGTGGTCCCCTTTGCTCACACCACAGCCACAGAGCATCCAGGAGTCTGGTGTTGAACGGAGAAAAGGCTGGGACTGTGGTACTGACCGAGGGCCACGGAAGGCATCTGGCAGGACTTCCCAGCCACGCGGGGCCTGTGGTGTGGCTGAAAGCGGCACTGAGACCAGAAGAAGCCCCCAGACTGACTCTGAACTGCTTCAAACACACACACACACACACACACACACACACACACACACACACACACATACAGAGCAAGGCAAGAGCAAGCCAATATATTGAGTGCCCACTATGTTCCAAGAACTGTCCTAGGTGTTTTTGAGCTGTGCCTTCTCAGTTACTCCTTGTGTAAAACTAACGTGACCTGAGGCAACTGACTGAAGTTCCGAGAGGTTCAGTAACTTCCTCAGGCCACACAGCTTATAAATAAGTGAGACAGAATAAATTCCAGTTGTCCGTTCTTTCCTCTTTTCTTGCACTATTCTGTACTATCTCTCACATTTCAGAAACACATACATGCACTACACATGCCACATCTATACATCCACTAAAGCATTCGACACATTCACACCCCATACCCCACATCCACACAGACGAATGCCATGCTTAACACACTCTCACATGAACGTCAGTGTTCATCTGGTTGCACACACATATCCATGTAACACAATCCACTGTGCATACACAGACACCTCCATCACACCCGAAACCCCGCACACGTCCACGCACATCTCCCCACTTGTACACATCACATCCAGAAACCTGCCCACATCACACCAACTCACAAACATCCTTGCACACAAAACCAGTAAAATGCATTTGTCCCTCACCCTGTTAATCAAAACTAGTTCTTCAGTATATGGATGAGGGGATCTACTAAATAGGAGTGTCTAAATAATCCAGAAATACCCTCTGAACCTGCAAAGGAATACCAGATTGCTTTCAGTATTCCTCATCGCTGGAGATAATAGTCTAATGATTTTAAAGTTGTTAATCCATATATGAATATTTATGAATACCCTATTAGCCAGAATATTTGATTAATTAAAGTAGCATATTATTCATTCATTCATTCACTGTACAATTACTAGGTACCAATTATGCTTGAGACACCATGGTAGACACAGTAGGGGATTAAAAGAACAAATAAACGATAAATGAAAACACCATGATTCCCTGTCTTCAAAGACAAACACAAGTAACTATATTACAAGGTAACATGGTCCGGAACCTGATAAGGGAGGGGATGTGAGAGGAAAGGGCACAAGGAGATATGATGGCTCTGAAGATTCTGGACCTGGAGAATGGGGACCTGAAGCTTCTGGACCTGTGCCGTCCGGGGAGCAGTGGTCTGGAGGAGCAAGTTCAGAGAGGAAGCCGTGGCATTGAGGTTGGGAGATGAATTTGCGGCACAGGCAGGACAGCTAGGTAGACGAGCCCTGCGGGTGTTTGCAAATGAGGAAAGGGGGCTTCCGGGAGCAGCCAGGCGGAGACACAGATGTGAGAATCATCCATTAGAGGTGATCACTTAAACCGTTACAACTGTGAGATCAGAAACAAGCCAAGGCGAAGAACGAGAGAGGTTGAGTGCAGATCCTTGGGGAATGCAATGTCGTACTTGGCTGGGTGACAGAAGCTCCCATCTTACACGACACACACACACACGCACACACACACACACACGTGCGTGCGCACTCTCATCTATGCATTCACCTCCTCAACGTACCTGCTCCCCAGCACTACACGATAGGGCTGTGTTTGCTCCCAGCTCTCTCCTGGTGTAATTTCAAGACTAGGAAAGCTCAGTTGCCCAAAGCAACCCAAGTGATTGTTCTTTAACCCTTCAGCTTCCAATCTTGACTTTTCTAGAAACCTGTACACCTTTGAGCGTGTGGCAGGGGGACAGCAGCCACTGTTGTCAGATGTCAGTAGTTCATGCTATGGCTTGAATGAGAACCTGAAAGCACTTTGTCGCATAGGAATGGGGGTGGGGTGGGGACAGAAACACTGTGAAGCATCCCACAGTCTGATCTTAAATCCCCCAGTCTTGAGACACCAAGGCAGACTGACTTACTCTGAGACCTATGTCGGTCTCTTCCAGTAACTGTGCCTCAATTCTCCCAACCGAGCATTTTCTAAGGTGTATGTTTCATGAGATGGTAGTCCCATACGGATAGGCTTCTAAGCTCGTTAAAGCTTCTGAGAAGACTCCAGGTACAGATGCCTGATTAAATTTCTGTTCCCAAATGCATTTGACTTGGGCAACATTATTTTTTAATTAGTGACTCTGATTCTGAAGAGAGACGCTGGGGAAAGGCTGGACTATTAGGTCTCTGAGATTCTGTCTGGTGGTGCTATTCCCCAGGAACACCTAGAAGAATGCAGGGGCCTAAAATACAGAGCGGGCCCTGGTGGGAAGTTAACCCTTCAGTCTCCTCCCCAGGGAGGCCCGGCAGCCATGACTGCTCAAAACCTCAGCCTGAAGACAAGGCAGCTTCTCAGCAGCAATCAGACACCCAGCTGCCTGCCAGGATCCCACATGGGTGGATATCTGGCCGAGTGAACCACAGAAGCTGGCCTTTCCTCTTTAAGGACCCACACTGCCTATTTCCCAGGCTGAGAACACTCTGGTGGTTCTCAGGTCTGGGCAAGGCGGGGAGAGGATCACAGGGCCATCATTAACCCGCTGCTTTTCTCTGTCCCTTCTTAGCCTTGCTGCTTCGAAGGAGGCTGACGCTGCCCGCTCCGCGCCCAAGCCTATGTCACCCTCGGATTTCCTGGATAAGCTCATGGGGAGAACCTCTGGATACGATGCCAGGATCAGGCCCAACTTCAAAGGTAGAGAAAACTTTCCGTCCAGATCCTCAGGGGTCTGCTTTCCTAGATTACAGAAGCAAGCAGCATGGTATTATAAGCAGACGGTAAACACATGGTATGAATCCCACGACTCTTTCCTCTCCCAGAGGCAGACATCGTTAGTCAGTTCTGTCTTCTCCCCACCAGGACCGAAACAAAGCTGCAGAGAATCCAGCTCGACAGTACCCTGGTTTCCAGGAGTCAGTATGTGCGTGAAAACCTGTTTGCTCCCTCTGGTTATGATGGACAATTGACAAACGCGGAGAAATGGGTTCACGTTTTGTTTCAGGCACAGACTTTACACTCTGAACTTGGATAAGCCTCTTCCTGTCCCTGGGCCTCAGTTTCCTCATCTCTGCGGTGATAGAGTTGGCTGGATCTGTGGTTTTTATAAACTACGTTCCATGGAGCCCTCAGGCTTTTCCCACAATGTGCCCCAAAAAGGAGCAGAGGGCATAGCGAGCAAGCCCACCCTTGCTCCCCCCACAGGCAGCTCTAGTTGTATTTGTTTCAGAGAAGAAACTTCCAGCTAAAATGCATCTGCTGAAAGTTCCCAGGGATTGCTATATAATTTTGAGACGTTCTAGCCTAACTCAGAGTCATGATTTCAAATGGCCACAGGGACTGGGCAGGTTACTTAAATGAGTGAGGTGAGCCAAGAGGAAGGCCAAAGGGAGTTGTAGCGATTCTGGAGAAATAGAGGTGCAGGCCTCTCTGAAGCGGGCGGCCTCTCCCCAGCCCCAGCCCCAGCCCATAATTACCTGCAGGAATGAGGGAGGGCCCCATGTTGCCAGATCATCCAGTAGTCTAAGAAGAGCCAGAAATCAAGATTTATGCAAAATGTCCTGATTCCTAAAACATGTGAATTCAAGCAAAACATGTTTGCAAGCCAGATACACTGGGGGGGGGGGGGGGGTGCAATTTACAAATCCTCACCAAACTGATCTGGAAAGCTTCTTTTAACTCTCCGAGTCCTCTGAGATCTTAACGTCTGTTACAAGAGGAAACCAGCTCCCTTTGTCCATGGATGCCCTGGGAAGTTGTGGCCATCTCAAACTACTGAACAGAGTTCCGCAGGTGTGGTCCTTAAGGGGCTCCTTGTGCACGCCTGCCTTCTTCCCGGTACCCCTGCTGAAATCTTATTTCGAGGACCAACTGCCAGCCTCCTAATCAATTCTTGATTCCAAATGCCCTTCCGCACTGTTCCTTTTGGCTCAAGTGCAAGACCAAACAAGGGATGTGACAGCTGATAACAGCTTCCTAATATTTGCTCACTTCACTCGCCATTCTCCAAGTACCCTTCTCACAGTGCTCTGCAAGTGGGGTTGGTTGTTTGGGGCCCACCTCCCACTCCTGTTTACCGTGAGGCTCCCCTGGCACCTTCTCTGAGGCCATACCTTCCAGCATCATTTAGCATGACCTTGCCTCCCTCAGGGACAGGTAAGTCAGGACCAAGGTCGTGGCCACAGGGTCTGGGCCCAAGCCCTTCACCAGGGTCACGATTTCAAACGCCCAGGGGAATCAGGTATGGCACATGAGTAAAGCAGGATGGGGAGAAGGAAAGAAAACCAGTAAGCACAAGTTCACCTAAGAGTAGCCATTTCTCAGGTCCTAACAGTAGCTGCCAGGTAGGAATGTAGGCCCTGGGCAGCGGGCCTTCCAAGAGAAGACTTGAGGCTGGAGTTTGCTGTCAAATCGTCCAAGTTGGCAGCTAAATCACATCTTTTAGGAACACCATTGGCCAAACCGAATACATTACAGACCTGACCACCAGGTTGCCTCCGTCGCCGCTGGTGGTTTTCGGGAATTCCAGCCCAGCATGCCCCCTGGTGGGCTCTCTTGGAACTCCATCCTGAGTGCCCTGGGCTAGCTCTCCTAAGGAGGAAAGCGTATGTTGGACGTGTATGCATCCAGAGTACAGGTGTTAGCTTTCCTCTATGCATAGCACTGTAAGTGGCACGTAGATGGCCCTCGATAAACCTTTCAAAAATGAATGAATGAAACAAAATATATGCTAAGGCTTAGAGCATCCCAAGGGATGCTGTCAAGACTTCAATTCAGCTACGTTTACTCAATTCTTTGTCTAATGCTAGCAATTTATTTGTGTATTCACTCATTTATTTACTTATTTGCCTATCAATGGATATTTTTTTTTATTTTTTTTAACGTTTTTTTATTTTTGAGACAGAGAGAGACAGAGCATGAACGGGGGAGGGTCAGAGAGAGGGAGACACAGAACCTGAAACAGGCTCCAGGCTCTGAGCTGTCAGCACAGAGCCCGACGCCAGGCTCGAACTCACGGGCCACGAGATCATGACCTGAGCCGAAGTCGGCCACTTAACCGACTGAGCCACCCAGGCGCCCCAATCAATGGACATTTTTAAGGAGTAAAATTTCACCCAGACTATAAAACTATTGAATCAGCTGAGAACAAACTGAGGGGTGATGGGGGGGAGGGGAAAGTGGGTGATGGGCGTTGAGGAGGGCACCTGTTGGGATGAGCACTGGGTGTTGTATGGAAACCAATTTGACAATAGATTATATTAAAAAAAAAATTATTGAATCAAGCAGGGCCCTTCTGCTCCCCAGTCTGAGAACCTTACTTTGAATATCTGGGCCCCAAATCTACAGGACTAGAAAATGTCTTAGACTTTTTCCAAACCTGCAGTGTCTCTCCCCCCTTCAGTCTCCTCCAAGTTGGGGGAGGAGAGAGAACACCCCTCTCCCCACCTCCCCTTCCCAAGAACTAGGAGGCAAGGTTTCTCTGCTCTCCCTTGTGGTGAGAGCTGAAACATTGGCATGAAGTGTCCCCTGCCCCCGAGCCCCATGGTCCCTTCACACTCCCACTCAGGCACAAAGAAGATTCCCCACAGCCCCATACAAACCGCAGAGCTCCTGAAAAGGCCATGTAGATAAGGCCCCTGTGACCCTAACACAAGAGGAAGAGGCCTGCATTGTTTGAAAACTGCACAGAGTGATTAATCACTCAGCAGTTTCCTTCAAGCACCAGAAATTTTGCCTGCTCCTGAATCTCCTGAAGGCAGGGCTGGCTGGGAACAGCAGGCTGAGTCTGCACAACACCGTGGCAATGCAAAGCGTTATATGGAAGTACAGAGCACTAATATCGGAGTCCAGTCCTCCCCCTACCGCCCCGATAGCGTGACCCGGAGAAAATCACTTGACATGTCTGGGCCTCTGTTTCTGCATCTGTAAAATGATCCAGTAGGACCTAGGCCCTTCCAGCTCTGATGTTCTGTATCTTCTCTAAGACTCTGTGTAGGATAATGGCTCCCAGGATCAGGGGCACAGCCTAATACAAACACATACACAAAAGCAAAATTAAACTTTAATATTTAATGAAATATATACATTATCCTGCTGCCAAAGGCAGCCAGATTGTAATTTTCTCAAGGATAATTTAATTTCAGATTTATATCAATGAACCGCACCTCCCCCATGGGGTCCCTTCGGCTGGTACCCTCTCACACACATAAATCAGGATCTAATTTGTATGGGAGTCACAGCACCACACACTTGCAGGGCCTGGGTGGGGGCGCTGGGTGTGTCATTTTAAGGCATGGGCAGTAACTTTTGGGGGCATCTTAATGGTATGAGACTGAATGAAAAGAAAAGCCCAGTCTGAGTCTAAATGAGGCCCAAAAAAAAAAAAAAAAAAAAAATTAATGGGCCTTCGTTGAAGTGGTAGTGACAAGGAGGCAGGCTTCCTCTCAGCATAAGGGAAATTTTTTAGCAGACAGAAGTACCCAACTATGGAAAGGGCTGCTCAAGACAAAATGAGTTCCCCAGTACTGGAAGTGTTCAAGTGCTCAGCCTTGAATGGGTAGCTGGTGCCACCATAGCAATGGTTCCTAACCTTGGCTGTACATGGGAATCACCCAAGTTAGCTTGTTAAACAAGAGTGTCTGGGCTAATCTCCAGGGATTTGGGTTCACTGGGTCTGGGGTCGGGCTGAGGAATGTGCAGTTTAACCAGTTCCCCAGGTGATTCTACTGCAGACAGCAGGCTGGGAAGGAATTGATTAGGTGACCTTTAAGAAACCTTCCAGGCCTGAAATCCTGTAACCTTGTAATTCAAATGGAGAGCTTCCTTAAAGGAATTCCAAACCAAAGGAGCTCAGAGTGTCTACCCAGGTCAAGAGCTACTGTCCCAGACTGATGAGGAAATTGTTACCCAGAAACAGGAAAAGGCATGCCTAAATAAAGTAGCCAGTGCGTATTGGAGCTTTATCGAAAACCCAGGGAGACTGGCACTCCCTTGGAGGGAAAACCTGGATTCCCACCAAAGACTGAGTCCCTTCCTACACACCGAGATTTCTGAAAAGAAGGAAACTTTGGCTGAGTTTGGGCAAAATGTTTGGTCTACTTTTTAAAGAGGGACAGAAGGGAGGGGGTAACAGAGGACACAAGGATTGTCTGCTTCCTTCTTTCCACAATCAGAAAGCTTGGATTTGACCCCTGGCTCCACCACTTGCTGGCTAAATAAACCCAAGGAAGTTTATTAAAACTCTCTGCTCCACAGCAGGGACGATAAATTTTTTCCGGCTCCCACAGGACCTCATGGGGATCAAAAAGAAAGCAGACCTGAAAAAAATTCACAGATTGCACATTGCAATCTTCACGTGAAGGATTATGAGTTCTCATCCAAGTATTACCATTTTCAAGGTCAGCTCAAGGTTTATCACCTTCCTGAAGTCTTTCCTAATGACTTGCTCCCCAGCACCTCTCTCATACCTAGACCCCTATTGCTTATGGCAATCTTAACCCGTAGTCTCACATTCCTCTCTGGTTATTTTATACTGGTCCCCTTGTCAGCTCATGTGGAAGCCCAGCGCTTAAAATCCTGGATTCTGCCACTCTGTAAACTTCAGCATGCCCCTTCCTTTCCTTGAACCTCTTTCCTCCAAGTATAGCGAGCCACCAGCTTTGGAATTAGATAAATCTGGACTCAAACCCTGGCTCCACCATTTACTAGCTGTGTGGTCATGAACAAATAACCTCTCTAAGCCTCTGTTTCCTCATCGCAAAATGGAGGTAATAAACATGTCTTCTTATGGAGTTGTCAAGAGGATGTAATGAGACAATATCAGTAACACTCTTAACACAGCAGCGAACCCTGTAATGCTCAGTAAATGGTAACTGCTACAACTAATACTATAAAATGAAGAGACTGGGCTTCAACTGGACAGAGGTCCCCTAACAATGAGATCCCAAAGAGCAAATATCTCGCCATTTGTGTCCTATCCTTTTCAGTAGAATTCAAAAGCTTGCCTAGCAAGTATTTAACAAAGACTTATGGACTTCCCTGGAGGTTCCCTCCGGATTCCTCAGCTGGTAATTCCCATCAACGCCCTTTCAGGCAATCATTCTTGGTTCATAAGTTCAAGGCGAGGAACTTGCTGTTCCTGGCGATTCCCAAGATGGCCTCCAAATGTTGTAGCCGTAAATGCATTTCAGCCACAAATTAGAAGACAGCCGATGGGGTTTGGGGAAGGGATTTCAACCATATGGCAGGATGATGAATCATCCTGTGTTAATGAAAGTACATCTCAGCTCAGCCTCTGGTGTTCTGTACCTGGTGCTCACTTGGGGACCAGGGAATCTGGCATAGCAATGTAGCTGGGAGTCCCAGCTGCTCAGGGGTGGGGTGGAGGGCAAGCAAGGGTCTCCACCACCAAGAGGGATCCATCCCTGGAGTCAGTGTCCCAACAATGGGTCCTATCCTGTGGGTTTCTTCCTGACCATGGAGCTAAGCAGCAATCTCTCTTGATTGGCAGGTCCCCCGGTGAATGTGAGCTGCAACATTTTCATCAACAGCTTCGGCTCCATTGCTGAGACAACCATGGTGAGTGAGTCAGAATACAGGCTGCTATTTCCCGCTGGGGGGGTGTATCTCTTCCAGAAATATGGCACCCTCTGCATTGCGCTTCCCCGAGGAGGCGGGGAATCTGGTGGGGTTTGGGGTTTCTTTGGTTTTTTGTTTTTTTTCAGATCTCTAGTGTATATCAGACTTGGACATTTTTACTGTCCTATTCAATGTTTTGGGTGAAGACATGCATCTGAAAATGGTTAAAGAGCTGGCAAGGCTAGAACATGGCAAACACCCAGGATCACAGGAACATTATAGCAACAGGCTGAAGTTTTAGATGAAAAGAAAATATAAAGAGCTGCTTATAAGTTTACAGCTCAACTGTACAATAGCAGAAGACAGCTTATAGAAGCTGCAGTGGGTATACTGGGTTGATTCTACTCCTCTCTCTGTTTTTGTGTGTCTTTCAAAATTCACATGGTAACAAGTTTAGAATAAGTCAACTATAATGGGGGTGCCTGGGTGGTTCAGTGGTGTTAAGTGTCCAGCTCTTGATTTCTGCTAAGTTCATAATCTCACTGTTCATAGGTTCGAGCCCCACATCGGGCTCCACATTGACAGCTGCGGAGGGAATCCCGGCTTGGGATTCTCTCTCTCCCCCTCTCTCTCTGCCCCTCCTCCTTGTGCACACTCTAGCACATGTGTGTGCTCTCTCTCTCTCTCTCTCTCAAACTAAATAAATAAACAAAAATAAAATAAAACAAAATGAAATAAACCAGCTATACTGGGAAAAAAGACTAGAGGGGAAGTACAAAAATGTTAAGAGCAATTATCCCTGGATTGCAGATTTATGGATGATTTTCAATTTTCTTCTTTCAGTATTTCCCTACTTTCTGAATTTCTGCAAGGAGCAAACATTACATTTGTGATAATAAATAAATGCAGTGATGGTTTAAAAAATTTTTTCTCAATCCTTGGGGAAAAAAATCAATTGTACTTGTTTTGAAAGGAGTGATCTAACTCATGAGAAAAGAATTAAAGCAACCTGAAGAGTCCTCTCTTTAGGAGCAGACTAAGAGCAGCCAGCCAATCACCAAGTCCTATAGACAGATGTTACTGCCAGGAAATCCTCTCAGCCACCCATTTCTGGACATCCCCGTCCCCCTAGTCTCATTCAGGCTTCCATGGGGCTTGCTCACATTACTGCAAAAGAGTTTTAACTCTCATCCTGCCACACGCCCATCCTTCTTTCTCACACACTGGTCCTTCTAAGACCACAGATTTGACCACACCACTGCCCTGCTTCCGCACCTCCCCTGTGGCTCCCCCCGGCTTCAGCATTAAGCCCCCTTCCCTTGCTGACTGCTATTCTCCTTTAAGTCTATACTTGAATTACCTGCAGAGGCAGACCTCACATTCTTAACACGGGTGTACATGTGCAAGTTCACATGTGTGCTTGACCCAAGGCTACAGTGAGTTCTTCCCACCCATTCTCGTGACACGTTTGACAGTCCCCATACTAGCCCTCACCACTCATGCGTACCACCATTAAGAGTCTGCTTATTCGTCCCTGTTCTCCCTGTAACGCAAGTTATTCTGGGCTGGAAGCTTGTCTCGTTTCCTGTGGTAACCTCAGCAGCTGGCACAGTGATTTAATAACGGGTACTCAATAACTTTTCAAAATAAATAAACCAACTCAAATATATTGTCGGTTGATTGACACGGTGATTCAGTCCTAAACATTTAGAGAGATTAGATCTAATCTTTCAGTCCCAGACTGGCAAAAATCACTGAGCTCTATAGATCATGGGGCAAATGGTCCAAAATCTGTCCTTTTGTAAAGAGGCCTGTCTTCATAGGATCACGGAGACCCTGCCCACATCCAAAGGATGAATGATCAAACTCCTTAAAATTAATAGGCGTCTTACCTCCAAATGGAGATGATCCCACCTGTTGACTAGGAACAAATCCAGCTTCTTTTCACTGGGTATCCAGGTCGAAAAGCCAGGTTTTCCTACACTTTGAATGGGTGTCTTAAGAGCGCCTAAGGAGCCCCCCTGCTTTTCTTCTTGTCCCTCCCAAATCAGAAGCTCATTGACACTTGCATTATTCAGTCTTTGTGTGGTGAGTATTGACACTTCTGCTCTTCTTCTGGAATAGTAAATAGTTATCAGATCAAGTCAGGGGCCACCTAGCTATGTAAAGAACTTGGTTATTTGAGGACAGGTATACATGTCTGCTCTCTACCCCCACCCCAACTTGTTTCTATATGATGGCCACAGATCTTGACACAGATTCCTAATGGAAGAGCAGTCTGCCTTTATTTTGTGTGGTGGTTAAAAGCCAGACTCTGGTGCCACAAAGACCCAGGCTCACTCACTATATGTAAGGAGCTGATTTGTTTCATGTCTTTAAGCTTCAGTTTCCCCGTCTGTAAAATCCCAGTGGTGACTAACATACTGACTTCCTTGAGACATCATGGGTGGAAATTATGTGCAAGAGAGTGTTTAGCACAGTAAAGAGTTTTTGTAAGTGGTTTTCATGTTTCCCATGATAATGCTGATGGTGATGGTGATGATAATGGAGACCCCAAATCTATCACTGATTAGCTATACGATCTTGAGCCTCAGTTTCCCCTTCCCCCATGTCTCCTGTCCACCTTTCCAGACTTCACTCCTGCTGCAATTTGCTCTCCACAGAGACAGTGTAACAATTAGGACACAGCCCTCCATGGCCAGACCAAACCTGAGGTTCAGCTCTGTGACCTCGGGCAGAGTAGCCTGAGTCAGCCTTCCCATCTGTAGAGTGGGGTACCATCCGCCTTGCGATGTGTAATGAGGACTAAGAGACAAAGCATAGATAATGCTAAGCACAGTGCTTGACACAAAGTACACACAATGAATGTCTGCCATTACTCTTTTTTTTTTTTAATTTTTTTTTTTTTCAACGTTTATTTATTTTTGGGACAGAGAGAGACAGAGCATGAACGGGGGAGGGGCAGAGAGAGAGGGAGACACAGAATCGGAAACAGGCTCCAGGCTCTGAGCCATCAGCCCAGAGCCCGACGCGGGGCTCGAACTCACGGACCGTGAGATCGTGACCTGGCTGAAGTCGGACGCTTAACCGACTGCGCCACCCAGGCGCCCCTGTCTGCCATTACTCTTAAACACTCCTCGTAATTTTCAACACATTTCACACTCACTCTCTCTTGTCAGATTCCTTCACTAAAACCTCGGTCCTGCAACCACTCTCTATACCGTAGACACGGTGGACACTATGTCCCCCAATTTGCAGCTGAGGAAACAGATTTGGAGGCATCACATCACAGAACCAGTGAGCTCCCAGGCAGGGATTAAGATCCAGTTCTCGAAAGCCAGAGAAGGTGTCTGTTGTGCATCAAACCACCACAACATCAAAGGGCCAAGACATAGGAAATGGAGGGACCACAGACCCACACAGCACGCTTATGCAACCACCTAAGTGTCGTCAAACATCGAAATCCAACCTCTTTTAAGTCGGCTATTGTTGAAAGTGCCAAATTAAAAGAGGTGGGATTTCTATGTTTGACAACACTTAGGTGGTTGCATAGAAACCAATTTGACAAGAAATTTCATATTTAAAAAAATGGTAAAATAAAATAAAATAAAATAAAATAAAATAAAATAAAATAAAATAAAGAAATCCAGCCTCTTATGGTGCCAGGCTCAGTATGCCTCAGGAGGGAACAGTCAATAATGAAAATCGAGATAACCAACAAGGGAGGCCCAGGGGGCCATGGTCCCCTGGGGTGGAGATACATAATCTCTAGACAAAGAATGAGAAACTGGCAATGATGTGCCTCCTTGGGAGTGTTCCACAAGGGACAGAGTTTACTCCTTAGTAATTAAAGTTAATCCAAAAGAGGTGTTACCATTTTCAGCTTGTACATTCCACAATACTGTGATTTTTTTCCCCCCACTGGGTCCTTAATTATCTGTATGTGTTTAATTTACTTTGCAGATGAATTAGGAAAAACAAAACATAATACCTCAGAACTAGAAAAAAACCTTAAGAAATTGTCTAAGACAGGCCTTCATTTTACAGAGAGGGGATCTGATGGCTAGAGTGAGGACATCACTTGAGCAAGGTCACACAGCATGGAGCACGTGGGACAGAAACCCAGGTCTAATGCTGTTTGCAGTAGCCAAGGCCTCCCCTCCCTCGCAGCTTCTTTCTAATGTAGCTCCCACCAACCAAACCCTTTGGACCACTTTCCCATTCAAACCTCTCTCCTTGTCACTCAAAATGTGTTTGCAGAGCAAGACTGGACCCATATTAACACAATAACAAGAGCAACAACCATGTCTAAATGCTACTATGTGCCAGGCAGTGTGCAGAGCACTTTTGCCAATATCATCTCATTCAGACCTCACAAAAGCCTCTGTGATCCCCATTTTACAGATAAGTAAGCCAAGGCTCAGAAACATTAAGTCACTTGCATGAAGTCACACAGCAGATCAGTGGCAGAGGTGGAATTTGAACTGAGATCTGTCTCACCCCAAAGGCTGTCTTCTCCTGAGCCAAATATAAATATTTAATCCCTGGATGTTTGGAATTACCCAGCCCTTGCTTGTTTCCTTTCATCATAAGGAAATCAGAGATGAAAAGGAACTTCGCTGGATAGACAGGCCCAAGCCCCCAGACTTCCAGCCCAGTGCTCTGCCTCACCAAAAGCACACAGAGCTGACTGTGCTTCCTGGGCCCATGGCAATATGAGCATAGTCCCCGTGCCAGAAACTTTGCAGCCTGTGTTTGTTCTCCAAGAGCAGCGGGAGTGCATAGCAGCTCTATAAACAGCTGGAGTCCCCAGGCCCGACTGTCTGCCTCCCAGGGCCTGGCTTTATTCACTGGAGCTAGCAGACCTGAGAGCAGAGAGAGGCAGCCAGGAAAGCAACAGGGGTCTCTATCCATTCCCGACGAGGGGAGGGCTGAAGCTGCCAGCCCTTCATCTGACCTTTCCAGGCAGTTTCATTGAGTCTACACAGAAAACGAAGGTA